GAGTAACAGGCCAAGTGCTATGACTACTGTTCTGCTCTCCAAAAGGATTGATACCATCTGTACTTAAAACAAACCTTAAGTTTCTTGCGTCATTTGCAAACTCTAGGAATTCTCTGTCGATTGCTCTCCACTGGGACCCATCCGCAGGGTTTCTCAACATATTGTCTACCTTACGGTCTTCTTTGTGCCATCACAACAACTTTGCATGGTCTTTGTTTCTGAACAGACGTTTCAAGCGTGGTATTATAGGAGCATACCACATGATCTTGGCAAAGATTTTCTTCGTGGGACGTTCACCCTCAACATCACCAGGGTCATCTCGCCTGATCTTATACCGCGATGCATGACACACCGGGCATGCATCTAACTTCTTGTACTCCTCGCCATGCTAGAGGATGCAGTCATTAGGACATGCATGTATCTTCTGGATTTCTAATCCCAAAGGGTAGACTACCTGTTTTGCTTCGTACGTAGTGGCGGGCAATTCGTAATCCTTTGGAACCATCTTCTTTTGGATTTTCAATAACTCCCCAAATCCCATGTTAGATACACCATTCTTTGCCTTCCATTGCAGCAATTCCAGTGTGGTACCCAACTTTTTCTGTCCCGCATCACAAGTTGGGTATAGCAATTTCTTGTGATCCTCTAGCATGCGCTCGAACTTGATCTTCTCCTTTTTACTTTCACATTCTCTTTGTGCGTCACGAATGACCTGACAAAGATCATCAGTCGGATCATCTTCTACGGCTACCTCTTCTTCAGCTTCTCCCATTGCAGTATCATTGAAGCACGCACCATCGGGAATAATATCATTGTCGTCCCATTGTTCTTCTTCACCTTCTTCCATTACAACACCGGTTTCTCCGTGCTTCGTCCAACAAATATAGTTTGGCATGAAACCCGACTTGAACAAGTGTGAACGAAGAGTCTTTGAGCAAGGATATTCCACCGTATTCTTATATATGGCACATGGGCAGCACATAAAACCGTCGTGTTTGTTTGCCTCGGCCGCACGTAACAAAGAATGCACGCCGTCAATGAACTCTTGGGAGCGGCGATCAGCATTGTACATCCAATGCCGGCTCATCTACATTACATGACATAAATACCATATTAAAACCTAGATCATAATTAATTATTTATACAACATGCGTGCCACCACAAAAGGTACAAATTTATGAAAGCATCGCTACAATGTAGACAATCCCAACCATCACTAAAAGAATTAAAGCTAAAATACATTTCAGGAGCACAAGGATTTCGCGACCAATCTCAACTAAAATAGACAGATCCCCCAATTGTGCAACATCTTTGGGCTTCTTAATTTGGATCAACGCCTCATTAGCCGCCAGATTCTGCTGTTGTGCAAGATATTTTTGCACAAGTTCAACATACTCTTCCTCCCAAAGAGAAGCCTGAACATCAATCCACCGCCATCCCAATGAAATTAAAACAAAAAATTAGAAATTTAATCACAACCATCATGAAAATAGGTATAAACTAACCATAATCATTAAATACGATAAAATAACACACATTACGATCCGGACACTTGTAGAAGATACAATCCTTGTTGGGACCCTCCTTCTTCACTCGGTACTCCATCACAATCTTCGTCTCATCACGACACTTGCCGCATGGAATGAGAGGGAGGCCCGGCCTAAGTCGCTTTGGAAACCCATGAGAGGCCGAGGACCCTAAGCGCTTGTCATCTACTCTCTATACTAGTTTTTTAATACACTATAAATTTCTTATTTTATAAACAAATAAAATTAAGAAACTATAAAATTATCTATATCTCTATACTCATTTTTTAATACACTATAGCTCAAAAACATGTTTTAATAAATAACCATCCGTACTAGTTGACCTTGCTTACGTGATCATCTCGTGAGCATTTCTCCACTAGACGGCACAGATTTGATTAGTCAAGGAAGAGCTCGATTCTACGAGGAAGGAACACGGTCTTCCACGACCGTTGTCGCTCTCCCTTGTAGAATCAAAGCTCCTCCTTGATGTCCGTTATCGCCGACGAGAGAACATGCTCGCCGAAATGAACACGGTCCCATAAGTTCAACTAGTACGGATTTTCTATAATTTTCTAACTATTTTCTAAGTTTTCATTTCATAAAAAGTTAAAATAAAAAAGTACGGTGATAGATGGATCATCGCGACGATATCGGGACATGTGAATAAATAACCATGAACTTGCTTACGTGATCATCTCGGCGAGTATTTCTTCACCGGACGGCACCGTACTTGGTCAAGGAAGAGCTCCGATTCTACGAGGAAGGGAACACGGTCTTCCACGACCATTGTCGCTCTCCCTCATAGAATCAAAGCTCCTCCTTGATGTCTGTTACCGCTCGATAGAGAACCTGCTCGCCGAGCTGAACACGGTCCGCAAGTTCAACTAGTACGGATTTTCTATAATTTTCTAACTATTTTCTAAGTTTTTCATTTCATAAAAAGTTAAAATAAAAGTACGGTGATTGACAGACTACTGCGACGATATCGGGACATGTGAATAAATAACCATCCGTACTACTTGAACATGCTTATGTGATCATCTCGGCGAGCATTTCTCCACCGGACGGCACCGTACTTGGCCACGGAAGAGCTCCGATTCTACGAGAAGGGAACACGGTCTTCCACGACCGTTGCCGCTCTCCCTCATAGAATCAAAGCTCCTCCTTGACGTTCGTTACCGCTCGGCAGAGAACATGGTCGCCGAGATGAACACGGTCCGCAAGTTCAACTAGCTACTTTAACCTTCTTTCATGTAAATATGCAAGCTTGAAGTGATTTTTAGCTCAAATTGCTTACGAATGAAAAAAAACCACAATAAAGAACCATGTATATAGTGAACAAAATGAGATAAGACAATGGTGAAAAATGAGAGTATGAGGTTGGTAACCTTTACAACTGAAGAATTGATGGAGGAATCGAAGAAATCGACGGAGGAATCGAAGAATGGATGGAGGAACAATGGAGGGAGGGAGGAAGCAAGAACACTAGTGCAGTGAGCTTTAAAATGTGCTGAGCTCGGGCTCGGGGAGGAACGAGACGGCCGGGATATAAAGGGGGGACCTTTAGTCCCGGTTGGTGGCTCCAACCCGGACTAAAGGTAACTTTCCAACCTCGGGCGCAGCCACGGCCCGGGAGTAGACCTTTACTCCCGGTTGGAGCCACCAACCGGGAGTAAAAGTATACCTTTAGTCCCGGTTGGTGGCTCCAACCGGGACTAAAGGTCCCGGTTGGTGGCTCCAACCGGGACTAAAGGTCCCTGCCACCTCTGTCTGGCGCAGTAGCCGTTAGGCAGGGACCTTTAGTCCCGGTTGGAGCCACCAACCGGGACTAAAGGTATCTCTAGTCCCGGGCGCAAAAAATTTCGGGACTAGAGCCCATTTTGGCCGAGAATCAAAGGTCTATTCTCTACTAGTGTCGGGTGCTCACGGAGTGTGCCTATTTATACCTGGAGTGGCTATCGGGCTTCGTCTTGGGCCGGTTGGGCCAGGCCATTTTCCGTGGCGGGCCTTATAACGCGCCTGCCTCAGAAAATCAATTTACCGAAGAGGACACCTTAAAATGCCCGCCACGGTTAATACCTATTAACCGTGACAGGAATTTTAAGGTGCCCGCCTCGGTAAATCGATTTTTCGAGGCGGGCAAAAGTGCCCACCACGGTAAATAAAAAACGCCCGCCTCGGTAAATTGTGGGATTTACCGTGGCGGGCTAAAATAGGCGTCCGCCTCGGTTAAGTTTTTGGGGTGTCTCGTAAAATCATTTCTGTAGTAGTGTGCTGTGCAGCCGCAGTGTACCACCATGACCGGCGCCAAGAACTTGCGCCGAAGTCATCAGCTCAACCCGCAGCTGCTCAACCCGCAGCTGCTCAACCTGTACGGGATGATGCCCGCTGGCCAAGCGCCATTACCCAGACAACCGGTGCTACGCCGCTGGTAGCTCCGGGGACCTTATCAGGTCCTGAGCCCGGCCAGGAGCCTTGCGCAGACTCTTGTGCGGCTGTGCTGTCTCCGCGCACGCGTGCATGCATGCAGCAACGCCACGCCCAACGCTGGCCGAGCGGGGTCGTCCTCTTCTCTTTGAGCCTGATGTCAGCATGACATAAGATGACGCCATATACCATATTTTTCCCTTGGAAAAGAAAATCTGAAATACACTACAAATACAACAAATCAATGCACACGAGTCGTTTGATCAGCCGCCGAGATTCACCGGCCCATATACACTGCAAATATTAATGCTGACGTCAAAAATAATGTTTTACGTGAAAAAAGATTTATAAAAAACATATTTCAACAATATTTTAAATTCTTCAGACTTCAAAAATTAATATAGCTTTTTATTCGAAACTTCAATTTCAGACTCCAATTTCGTCGGATCCGATTACTAACCAAAACAATAGCCTTGCAAGATACCTGAAGGCTAATGGGATTGGGTCCAAAATTGAAGAAGTCATATGTAATCGTGCAAAGCACCGGCATTATAGCCTTGCAAGATACCTGAAGGCTAATGGGATTGGGTCCAAAATCGAGGATGTCATATGTAACCGTGCAACGCACGGGCATTATTCTAGTATGTCATATTTTTGTATAACAGTTTCTAGATTTATAATTAATCATTAAAAAATATTATTTTTTAAAAAAATTGGGGACGCGCGCCTGGACCTGGGCGTTTTGTAGCTGGAGACGCGCAAAATGGATGACACGGGCTGCACCTGCGCCTGCACGCAGCGACGACGTGGATGGCAACGGCAAGCACATGCGAGTGCGGCACGCCGGCGCCAGCCCGCTCCCCGGTCCCCGCAAGGCGACAGAGGAGAAGAGGAACCCCTTGCCAGTTCGGAGGATCTCCTCTACCTCTTTCCCCACCCTGAACCCTAATCCTCTCCTCCGATCCGCTCCCGATCAATAGCCCCTCCATCACCGCCGATCCGCGCTCGATCGATGGCCCCTCCATCGCCGCTGCCGTGCCCGCGATGCAGCCTCCATCTGATGGCACCCCAGCCCCGCTCCTGCTCGCCGCGGGTGCTAAGGCCTCAGACTTCGACGTCGCCCAAAACCCCAGCCTCCACGGTACTCAGGTCTAGTTGGATCTCGTGACCCCAGTCGACAGTGACTAAGGTGGATCATGCAGCAAGCCGGCGCCAGCGCACAAGAAGAAGTCCAAATCCAAGTCGAAGAGGGACGAAAACAGCATCTGGACCAGGCCCACCTCCAGCAAGTGCAAAAAGAAGGCAACGCCGTAGCCGACCACCGCCCGGCCCTGGCCCGGCGCCGCTGGCGCTGAGGATCAACCGATCGAGTGCCCACTGGGGCAGCCCGTGCTCCTCTTCCGCGTCTTCAAGTCCGAGCGGATTGTGCTCTCGGCCGACCGCCTCACCGCCGCCAGCTCCATGGGCTACCGCATGGTGCGCGCCACGCACGGCGTCGCGTCTGGGGCGTGGTACTTTGAGGTCAAGGTCATGCACCTCGGCCACACCTGCCTCGGGTGGGCAACCAACATGGCGGACATCGACATGCCCGTTGGGTGTGGTGCCTATGGGTTTGGGTACCGCGACAGCGATGGCGCCAAGGTGCACATGTCTTGGAGGGACAAGTATGTGATGAAGAGATGTGCTAGGGTTCTACATCTCTCTGACTGATGGGGAGAGGTATGAGCCTCAAGTGAGTCGGAACAACAAGGGCAAGCCTTTTCTTCTGCAAGCCCCCAACAAGGTTCCAGGTAATATAAGTGCCTGTTTCAAATTCCTGTATATATAAGATGGTGGTTGTGTTACTGTGCCAATTTATTTATTAAAAAGACATGCATGCAATTGTTACAATGAAGTGATCATGAACTCTAGCTATTTTTGCATATAAGAGAGTTCCATAAACATGCATCCACTCGGTGCTTGAGATGTTGTAGACGACTATTATTAAACTTTTGTAAATGGAGTGTTTATTAGCAATGTTCCGAGATAACAATTTCTTATGGAATAAGTAATAATCATTGTTACCTCGAAACCATTAGATGTAGTTGCTTTTACAATTCTTTTATTAGTTATTATATAGAGAGATAGTTAGGGCTGGGAAAAGTTTTTATATAAATCATATGCATGTATTTTTTAAATGATGTTAAATTAAACAATTGAATGTATTACTCATGCTTTATGTCAAGGGCGTCGAGGACTAGGGTAGCTGGACTACGTAGTTCGTAGCCTATTCGTGAGGTTCGGGCGAGGTTTTACCCCTCGGCGCCCTATTGTTGAAGAAGGGGATTTAGGAGATAGGAATACTGCTTAATCCTTCTCCAAGAGCCATTCGACTTACATATAGGCACTAGGCTGTCAATCACTCCTCAAATCTCTATCAATCACTCACTAATATTTTTCTAAATAAGCACCAGCTAATGCCGCGCCTCTAATTAACAATAGATTAGCCACTTTCCTGACCAGCTTTTTCTGCCTTTTTAGCCCTGCGGCTAAACTGCTTTCCCCACATAACATCTCTCCCCCTCGACAAGTAGCTCATCCTCGAGCTGTAAATCTAGATGGCGCTTGATGAAGGAGTCGATGTCTTCCTAGGTTGCCGATGCTGTTGGTTCCCCTTTCTACTGGACGAGCACTTGCCGCACGCCACGGGCTAAGCGAGTGCGCACTGCTCACTCTGGTTCTCGAACAACTACTCCATGGTGTTTGACTGGTAGAGGTGGTGGGGCGTCTGGTGGTGTGCCAACAAACTTCTTAAGAAGCCCCACATGGAACACATCATGCAAGGGAGCGCGCCGTCTTCTCGACATCATTGGGGTTCATCCGGACATGGTGATAGCCCGAACAAAGGCCGAGCTTCGTGAAGAACTTTGCCCCATGCAGCTCATCTAGGAGCTCATCGATGACAGGGATGGGGAAGGCGTCCTTGACGGTGATGACATTGAGGGTGCGGTAGTCGATGCAGAAGCACCAGGAACCATCGGCCTTCTTGACGAGCAGGACCGGCGAGGAGAACATGGAGGAGCTCCTGTGGATGAGGCCCTGGTCTAGCATTGCGGCGCATTGCCGCTCTAGCTCATCCCAGTGCATTGCCGATTACCGGTAGGGGCGTATGGCCACGGGCTGTGACCCCCGGGGTGAGGACGATGCTATGGTCGTGGGTGCATGGTGGTGGAAGCCCGTGGGGTTCAGCGAAGACGCGTGTAAAATCAGAAAGCAGGGCCTCAAGGAGGTTTTCGTCCGTTGACGTCGCGACCCACCATGCCTTGCTAGCGGACTTGGTGATCCTTGCGCCAAAAGGACATTAAAGCGAAAGCGCTGAAATTCTAGAGAATGGGGCCCAGCGAAGCGAGCCACTGGGTGCCGAGGACAACGTCATAGTCGGCCAAGGGCTGGACGAAGAGATCCGCGTGGAATGCCTCGCTGTCAATGGAGAAAGCGGCTTGGCGGAGGAAGCCCAGGCAGGGGACGTGTTCACCGTTGGCCACTGTGACTTTAATGCTGGCACGGCGCTGCAGGGGCAGGGCCATGCTGTTCACCGTCGCCTCTGAGATGAAATTGTGAGTCGAACCGGAGTTGAGCAGCGCTAGGAGGGTGTGTGACGGATCTACATCGTCTCGCTGGTGCGGACCCCAGTGTTGGCGTGAAGGGAGATGTGCGGCTCCACATCCACCATGGTGTCGTCGCCCGGCAGCTCGTCCTCCTCCTCGTCATCCGTGTCCTCCAGCAGGAAGAGGCGCTGGCAAACCTTGTTATGGCCGTGCTCGAACGTCTCATTACAATTGTAACAGAGTCTGAGGCAGTGTCAATCCTCCATCTCGACCGTGGACAGGTGCTTGACCTGGTGGCCCTCCACCGTGACCGTCGCCGGTGCTAGCGGCATAGTTTTTCGGCGTGGGCAGAGCTAGGCGCGGAGGGGTCGCTAGCAGGAGCGCGCGCACTGGAGCCTGGGGTGGTTAATTGGTGTGGCGCCACCGGGGCGTTAGTGGAGGTGCATTGCTCCTGCAGCTCCAATTTGCGCACCAAGCTCATGGCTGCGGCCAACAAGTGAGGGTTGTGCAGGTTCGCCCGACGTGTTCTTTCCCCGAGGCAGAAGGCTGCGGCCGTGCCGCATGCATCCAGGCACTAGATCACCTGGGAATTGGCCTCGATGGAGGACTGCAGCGTCTTGCATTGATGGTGTTGGTGAGGGCGGCGAGCACCGTCTTGAGGTCGTCGCTGTTGTCTCCCATCGTGAGCGTGCGCTGCGGAGTGGGCGGTGCAGAAGCTGGGCGAGTTGGAAGCGTTGCCGAGGCGGGCGGCTGCAACGAGAAAGGCCTAGAACCACTACGGGAAGAAGGGTCTTTGCCGAGTGCAACTTTCTTTGCTGAGGGCTAAAAGTCGGGCACTCGGCAAAGAGCTATTTTGCCGAGTGCTGCACTCGGTAACGATATACACTCGGTAAAGAAGGCATTGCCGAGTGTCAAGCACTCGGCAAAGCCAGACGTGTCAGGCTCTCAGCAAACCCTGGTGCTCAACAAAAAGCGGCGTCAAGTAATGGCCGTCGCTTTGCCGTCAGGTTTGCTTGAGTGCCAGCCGGTAGGCACTCGACAAACCACTTCTTTCTTTGAGTGCGGACCCGACACTCGGCGCAGAGAATAATGGCAAACTATTTTTTCCAAGTTCTGAACTTCAAAATTTTTCCCGAGTCCTCATACAGTACATGAGACTCCATGTTAAAATTTGGTACATTTTTATGGTTTTTTGCTATATTTAGTTAATTTATTTCATTTAATTCATTTTTTTTCGAAAAATGCAAATTTGAACTGCACGTGCATCGAATAATGGAATTTAATGATTCAAAAAATGATATTCATGGTATTGAGTGTAGTGTGAGGCCGTATCCAGGAACGGACCTGAAATTTCGAACATCTAGACATCCTGGTTTATAAGCATCGTACGTGATAACATGCACCAAACCTTCTCAAATTTTTATCACATCCTCCACATACGATATCATGACATCTCGACAAGTTTCATGATATTCGGACATCGTTTTCATTTTATAGAATTTAAAAACAATTCATCCGCAAGTTCGTGGTCATGTTTCGTGAACAAGATGTTCGAAATTTTGGGTCCGTTCCTGGATACGGCCTCACACTACACTCAATACCATGAATATCATTTTTTGAATCATTAAATTCCATTATTCAATGTACGTGCAGTTCAAATTTGCATTTGCCGAAAAAATCAATTAAATGAAATAAATTAACTAAATATAGCAAACAGTTCGGGAAATGTACCAAATTTCGACATGGAGTACCAAGTACTGTAAGAGGACTGCAAAAAAAGTTTGGAGGTCAAAATACAAAAAAATTGATTTGTCGAGTGTCATCTTTTGACACTCGGCAAACTTGTTCTTTCCGAGTGCCAGCTGCCAGGCACTCGGCAAAGTGTTCCCTTTGCCGAGTGTCCGTGGGGACACTTGGCAAAGAGCGTGCCAAATTTTTTTAAAAAAATGTTTGCCGAGTGCCTCTCCGTCCGGCGCTCGACAAAGTGGTATTTAAAAAAAACGATGCAGTGCGGTTTAGGGTTTATATTTCAAAAAAAAGGAAAACGCGTTTGCCGAGTGCCCCGATCTAGCACTCGGCAAACCGGCTCATCCACACTTAGACAAACTGGCCACCCAACCGTTACCTCCCACCCTCCCACACACGCACACAGGCACACACGCGCGCCACCGTCCCGCCCCGGCCCGTGCATGCCTGCGCCGCTCACCTCCGCGGCCGCCCCGCCGCGCCGGCGCAAGGCGCCCCGCCGGCGGCGTCGCCCACCGTCTTCACCCGCCCGCCCCACCCCGCCGACGCGCCCTCGCCGCTCCGCCACCCGCGCATGGCGGTGTGCCCCCACCGCCTTCGCCCGCCGGCCCGCCCACACCGGCGCGCCTCCGCCGGCCACCCCAGACACCACGGCCCGCCGGTGCCCGCCGCCCCACGCCCATCGCTCCAACCCCACAGCCCGTGCCCCGACCCACGACAGCGCCGCCCCAGCCCTCACGGCGCGACCCCGGCCATCCTCGGCGCACCCTCGACCGCCGTGGCCATCCTCTCCCCATCCCCAGCGCGCCTCGCCCGACCCCGACGCTCCGACGTCCTCCCAACCCCGACACCATAGGTGAATATTAGAGTAGCAGTGGTAGTATGTTTTAGTGGAAGTAGAGTTCGGTAGAGTAGTAGTAGTAGGTGGTTGTGGTGGTGGTAGTAGTAGTACAGTAGGTGGTTGTGGTGTTAGTAGTAGTAATAGGTGGTGGTGGTGGTGGTGGTGGTGGTTGTAGTAGTAGAAGAGTAGAGTGGCGATGGTGGTGGTGGTTGTAGTAGTAGAAGAGTAGAGTGGCGGTGGTGGTGGTGGTTGTAGTAGTAGAAGAGTAGAGCGGCAGTGGTGGTGGTGGATGAATGTGACTTGACAATGACATGTTGAATTGAATGCATATGTATATGTGGTTGTCAGCCATCGTGCCGTATGTTTTTTAGGTTTTGGATACCTCACCGTGCAGGGGAGGTTCTGCCGAAATTTTGAACTGAGATAGTATTTTGTTCTAATACCTGTAATATTATGTTTTCGTAATTATGTTTTGTTTATTTTGCATCTATTTCTATTTCTAATTACGTCTTGTTTATTCTTTTTAATTGCAGGTG